CAATTCATTTCTGACCTTCTAAATGAAATAATCTAATATTATCTCTTCAGTAATTTAGAACACCAAGGACAGCATTGCATTTTACTAAATCATTTTATTTCTTCTAAGCAAAGGAATTAGCTTTCCCTTAAAACAAACAAACAAACACACAAACAAAGCTGTAACACTGTTGAGCTAATGGCATTCCAATGGCTTTTCTAATTATAATGCCATCAATCTCAAAACTACAGTCCAGTGGCTTATCTTTTCCAAACTGAATTTCCTTTTAAGTAGTTGACGGTTTTTTAATTCTTGTTTTTTACATTGTGTATAATACAACTGAAGGAAGTTTACTTACTACCAGTCATTTAATGAAGATACTAAAAATGATTTCTTACCAAGAAATCATTCATTTGATATTCAAAATATTTTATTTGTACATTTGACTTTTTCCTAAGTAATGTATAAAAGATTTAATTACTGAGAGACAGCTGAGGATACACTGCCATTATTATTATTATTACACTAATAGTAGTACTTAATAACAATAATATTTGTCTTTACTATTTTTCTTTACTGGCATTTCTAATCTATCAGATACTAAATTTGTTGCTATCATCAACACCAGTGTTTCTTGAACTTTTTGGATCTTTCCCCACTTTTAAAAATTATGGAGCACTCTAAAAGAGCTTTCAAAAGAATTATTACATTTATTGTTTTAAAAAAAATCAAAATTAAAAATATTCATAGAATACTTATGTATTGAATTATGTATAAATAATAGTATTAAACTCATGAAATATTTACAGAAAATAAATATTAAAAAAACAAAAATATGTGACATTGCTTTAAATTTTTGCAAATATCTTCAATATCTGGCAAATAACTTTATCATCATTATTATTTTATTATATGAACTTCTGAGAGGACCTCTAGACCGTGGTCTAGAATATTAGGAATCCCACCAAATTCTGTTTCATCTGGAAATTTAATAAGTATCCCCTCCCCCTGTTCATTCTGGTCATTAATAGAAATGTTGAAGAATGCCAGACCCAATTAAAAGCAGAGGCTCAGGAGACTTCCTGTTGCCTTTCTCCAGAATTCATCCTTAGCTCCTCATTAATTTAAAATCCTTCATCAAACAACAAGGTTGATTGCTAGCTTGGGAGAAAAAACCAGGGGGTGGCATACAGGAGTTCATGTGTTCACCAATTGTGACTTTCCCAGACAACCAATTATGGTTGTAAAATGAGAACTACCTATAATTTATGTAGATACAGTGAGTTGGTGCTATTTCTTATATTCTAAGGCAATTTTGTATATTCCATGGGATAATTGTTGTCAGCATTACCTTACAACATGTGTGAGTTATGTTTATTTGGAAGCTGGGGTAAATTTGCCTGTTTCCCCCCTCTAGTTTAACAATAACCAGGACATGTGCTCTTTTGGGTAGCAATATATTATTCTGGATGGAAAATTCTGGTGAGATGAACACAAGTGAACATATTTTAAAATTGCCAAAGACAAAAAAACACTTGTCTATTGATAAATACAATGTAATGTTGAATTGACTAGACTAGATGTAAATAATCAGCCCTTGATCTTTGTTGAATCCATTTCTCTGACCAGAGATGATAGAAACTATGGTCAAAACATCTGGAGGGTAAAGATAAGCAGGGCTGGACCTTGTGGTTCTGGGGACACAGAAAGACGGGGTCCGTCTTTCGTGTCTGAATTCGCTCTGCTATTGGACCCTGGAAAGGGTTGAAAGTTGTCCCTTAGAGATGATGAGCAAGGAGGTGACCCTTGTTTGCTTGTGGGAGGGCGGTGGCCCTTCTGTTTGATCCGGGGAAGCCCTCCAAACTGTGGGAGAAGGACAGGCCATATTAATATGGCTGGTCACAAAGCTGCTGACAGCTGAAGTCAAAAGCACCACCAAGCAACTTTCAAGCAACGTGGATGAAACTGGGTGAGACCTGATCCTCTCTTTAAGATTCTAAGTTTTGTTTCCTGAAAAAGCTGCCCAAAGCATTTTTCCCCTGTGAAGAGAGAGGGAAGGGAATTTTTACCCCACCCTCTAAGAAAAGCGGTGACTAACTACCCAGTAGAAACAGAGCAACCATAAGATTAATTTTAATCTAATTGGATATATATTATTTTGAAACTTGGGGACTAAAAGTGTTCTTTTTCTTATTGGAGACTTTTGTTTTTGTTTCGTTTTTTTAAAAAATAAGACTTGAAAAGCCACCATATAAGTTTTGGACTTAAAAAGCTATAAAATGGCGTTGGTGACATCTTGTGGCGAATTATGCTATTATAATTTGTTATTGGCTAAAACAGCGGTTCTCAACCTATGGGTCGCGACCCCATTTGGGGTCGATCGAACATTTCATGGGGGTCGCCAAGCAAGGCTGTCCACCATTTTTTCCCCTTTTCCGGTGGGTGCCTTACCTTCCTTGGGCTGGGCCAGCTGGTGGCCCAGCCGGTGGTCAGCCTGCTCCATCTCTGCTGCTTGCCAGGTACGCCTCAGCCAGCGCAGGGGGCGGCACCATGCATGCGTGGCGCTCCCAGGCAGGGAAAGTCCTCGACTTATGACCGGTTGGGTAGTCCTTGACTTGTGACCGGTTTAGTCCTCGACTTACGACCGGTTTAGTCCTTGACTTACGATCGGTTGGGGGTCACAGCATTAAAAAGGCTGAGAACCACTGGCCTAAAAGAAACCTCGCTTGAAGCCCAGACTACAGATAAAATTTGTTTGGCCTTGACAGCTACCACCTTTGAAAAGCCCAGCTGCAAAGAAGGGATTTCTGGGCTGCTTATCTGTATGGCAGGGATGATGTACTGTTTTGGAAGCTGGCCTGCTTGAACTATGAATGTAAACTTTTACTGGCTCTCAGAGCTATGCTTGGGGAACTACTTTCCTATTTCCTTGCATGCGAAGCATATATTATTACACAAGATGATGGAACACCTTGGATTATAAACTCTTACTTGATAAACAATTTCTATTATAAAGACTATAAAACACGAAATAGATGTTCCATACCCAGCTACAAAAGACAAAAAAATATTTTTAATGTTTGATTCTAAAGTCTTCAGCTTAACATACTATGAAGAAAATATGGATGAAGGTCAGGAAAAAAATCCTTTCCATGTTGAAATCAATACACAAAACTATTATTTCAGCTTGTGATAAAATAAGAAGCAACACAAAGAAACAAGGTTCTAGCTTAAATATACAAACCCAGATATTGATTACAAGCAAAAAAATAACAACGCAGAAACAAAAGGAAAATTGGAACAACTAAATGCTAAGACAGAGAACCCAACTGACCAACTGAAAAATCAGAAAATGGAGTGACAATATTGAAAATGGAAAAGACTTTTCACAAATCAAGAAATCAGAATATATTTGAGGAAAAGGAAGAAGAACAGATTGAATGGAAGATAAAGCTATCAGGACAATTATGGAAAATTGGAGTAACATGGAGGTGGTTTAATGAATACCAATGGCTTGTACTTCCAAAAAAACCTCAGCCAAATGGTCTTTCTTATTCCTCTAGTTTTATATATATTATTTGGGAGAACTATTTCATGATTCAAAGGCACTGACATGGAAGGTTAGCTGGCAAAGGAAGAAAGCCAGAGTAAGGCTGAAGAAAATAATGGCTTTGACTTATTAGAAGGGATATTATATTAGATGATTGAATATAGTGGAAAATAGATAAGTTTTAGAAAATAGAGTAGCATTGTAATTAAATAGATAAGGTCTATAACTAGAATATTAGACTTTGGTATAAAAAGGGGAAAAAGGTGAAGTTGAAATAAGGGAAGCTTTTGGTCACCTAAACATAAAGTACTTGGAAATCATAAATAATAATGTTTTCTTGAATATTGATGGGAAATTAAAGTTTGGGGGGGAAGCAATAATAGAATATTGTTCATACAAGAATATTAAGTGGAAACGCAATTAAGATATGTATAGGCTAAAAATTATCGATAAATGTAACAAAGATGTTTCTACTTAGTTGAAAATAGTTGTGTTTGCCCAATATGAGATAACAGATATTATTGGAATGAGAGAGGAAGTATTTGATATTCTAATATTAGACTTAAACTAAAAAATTATGTATATTACTGAATTATTGGTTAACCCAGACAACAACTATAATTATTTTGATTTATTAGAGGGGATACTGTATTATCAATTAGATGGTTGAACATGGTGGAAAATAGATAACTTTTAGAAAACAGAGCAATATTATAATCAAATAGATAAGATGTGTAACCAGAATATTAGACTTTGGTATGAAAAGGGAAAAAGGGAGAAGTTGAGGTAAGGGAAACCTTTGGTCACCTAAACATAAAATACTTGGAAATCATATATAATAGTGTTACTTTGAATATTGATGGGAAATTAAAGCCTGGGGAGGGGAAGCAATAACAGGACATTGATTGTATACAAGGATTAAGTGCAAACACAATTAAGATATGTATAAGCTAAAACTTATTGATAACTGTAACAAAGATGTTTTTATTTCATTGATAACAATAAGCTAGCCCAATATGAGATAACAGATATTGATGGAAAAAGAGAGGAAATATTTGATGTTGTAACATGAGATTTATACTAAAGATTTATGTACACTATTGAACTATTGATTAACCCAGTCATCACATTACTTTTTAAATATCCAATTGCAAAATGAGAAAATCAATAAAATATTATATAATTTGGTATTTGCAATTAGATGTCATGTTAAATGATCTACTACAAAAAAGCCAAACTCTATAGACATGACCTTGATCGAAATTCATGTAATTCTTCATGCTGCATAAACATACTACACATTCTAATACAAAATTTTTGTACCCAACCCAGCATTAGTCACATTTATTATAGTCATGATTTACAGTTTGATATTCAAATCCTGAAGAAGCCTTAGTCAAAAATGAGCTTCAAAACTTAACATAATGCCGGCTTAATCTTTGCATTTACTATTTATTTTCTTTTCCTACAGACAGAACAGCTTGCTACCTTGTGGGTCCTTTTTGTTGTGATAGTTGTTGGGAATGCAGTTGTTTTGGTCTCCACCTGGAAAAGGAAGAGAAAATCCAGGATGACTTTTTTTGTTACTCAACTAGCTATAACAGGTAATGTTATGCCAGAAAGATAACATTGTTGCATCTAATGCAAGCTAAAACTAATTTACATGTACAATTGCTAAATTGGTTTTGATTCCATTTTTGAGGTTTGGGGGCTTTAAGTCATCAATTATACTTGTTATTTTGATCCATCCTGGACACTTTGGAGATGATTTTTGGGGAAGAAAGATTGGAAAATCAATAGGCAAAATGGGTATCTGGCTCTGTAAAGACTTTAAAACTCAGTATTGCTGCTTAACTGGTCAAACCTGGAAAATTGTGTCTGCTTCTGGAAGGAAAAATGAATTAAGAGGTACAATTATGGGTACTTTAGCTTCACATAGATTTAACACCATCATTTAACTTCTTAATTGTCATGGAACAATTATTGGAATGGATTTTTTCAGAAATACAATCTGGGGTATTTAGGTACTATAATGTTATGATATGATATGATATGATATGATATTTTGATTGCTACTCTGCAAGGCGTCACCTATAAAAGCATGAAATCTCTTTATTGCCATTTGTCATTCTCTTCCTGGTCTGTCTAATTGTCTTTTCAAGTACACTAAGGTAACTTGTAGCTATGCTAATTGGAAATAGCCCTAATATATTAAGAGTGTCTGCTGAACAGCAGATTTCTCAGGCATGACTAAGGAAACTTGAACAAATCTTCTTGCATCTGTTCAAAATATCATTTGAATCTTTATCCTCTGTGAAGATAGCATATATGTTGTCAAACCTACAAAATTACTTTGGTTACAGCTATCTTTCTTCATTTTTCTGCTTGCCACAGCTATGGGGAGGAGGGAAGATGCATTCTTCTATTTAAGTCAAAACAATAACAAAGCCAAATTGCTCAAGTGTTTGGCTAGAAGATAGTCAAGCATCTACAGCAATTGGTGTACATAAAACAACAGCAAGGGGTAATTTGTAAAACAAACCAATTTTCTGGAGGCATTCAACATTTGCCTTTAAGGTTTTTTCTATTCTGATTGTATGTATCCCTTTATCCAGAGTCAAGTCACAGCCTCTCAACAATCAGTCTTTCATCTGGAAGAATGTATGCCATACATAATCCAATCTTTTATAAATAAACTTATAAAATTCTCCAATGTCACATGTTTGAGAATGGGAAAAAACTGTCCCTGTGTCTAGTTGTTTTGGCATTCAGTGCCCTAGAGTAGTGTCCTTAGGGAAGAAGTTGAAACAGTTTATCTCCAGAATGTGAGGAGTTTATAGTTATTTTCTCAGCCCTCCTTCTGACCCACATAATATTAAGAAATAAGATATTCTTATTATATAGTGTACAAACTATGACTAGCTGTTAGTTTATCTCACTCAGAAAATATTAATAAGAGTATTTGATCTGGATTGAAAAGGGGGCATGGATGAAAGCTCTTCTCTGATATCCATATCAGCCCTGATAGGCTAAGAAACCTAATTTCAAAAACTTCATTGGTCATTGAAGCTCACCAGTTGGTCAAAACATTACTGTTCTGAATGTACTTGTTATGTCCTGGGCCTTTGATTGATAGAGCAGATGCAGGAAGCTGTAGAGAGACCCAGACAGACCACATGGCTGCTCAGGCCAGACAGGCTATCTCCACCTATTGCGCATGCGCAAAGTGGGAAAAATACATTTCATTTATTGGTTGAAGCTGTTCCCTGCAAAAAGCATAAAAGCGACCCACACCATTTTGTGTTGATGTCAAATTGCAGGGGGTCCCCTTAACGATGGAGCTGGATATGGGTTCAGCTCTGTCAATCATTTCCCAGAACATCTTCAAGCAGATCTGCTGTAGAAGCGGCCAGAGAGTTAAACTCAGGCCGTCGAATCTTATCTTAACAGACTTCCAGAATTCCCGAGTCAGTGTGAAAGGGGAGGCCATGCTCAGGGTTTCTGGACAATTGTTGTGGTTGAGGGTGACCGCACGAGTCTAATCAGACTCGATTGGTTTGAGGCACTTGGGATTCAAGTAACTGGGCTACACAGCTTGCAAACGGCAGGCTTTGTGGAAGTTTGCAAGGAGTTTGCTGATGTGTTCAGCCCAGAGCTAGGGTCGTACAAGGGGCCTCCCATTTGCGGTTAGATCCCTCCATTGCACCGATTAGGATTAAGCCTCATCAGGTGCCTTTTGCACTTAAGCAAAAGATTAATGCTGAGCTGGATAAACTGCTATAGCAAGATATTTTGGAACCTGTGGATAGCAGTCCATGGGAAACACCCATAGTCACGCCACTCAAGGCCAATGGGGAAGTCCGCATTTGTGCTGACTATAAGTGCATGCTAAACAAAGCGTTACAGTGCCTGTGGTGAGCCACATTTTGGGCTCACTTAAAGGAAACCGAGTTTTCGCCAAACTCGATTTGGCTCAGGCCTTTCAACAGCTACCGGTTGATGATGCAACAGCTGAGGCCCAGAGGATCGTAACGCACCAGGGAGCTTTCAAAGCCAGAAGACTGCAGTTCGGGGTTAACATAGCCTCTGGCATTTTCCAAAGCATATTGGAGCGAACTCTCCATAACATTCAGGGAGTTTGTACATATTTTGATGATGTCCTCAATCACTCGAAATCCTGGCTGAAAGGCTTCGGTCCATCTTGCTGCATTTCCACGCAGTGGGGCTGAAACTTAAGCAGGAAAAATGCAAAATTGGAGTAACTTCCACTGAATTCCTGGAACTTTGCATAGATGCCGAAGGCATCCATCCCGCTGAATCTAAGCTCAAAGCGATTCAGCAGGCCCCAAGTCCCAAGTCGAAGAGCGAGCTTAAAACCTTCCTTGGGCTTCTAAATTTTTACCATTCTTTCTTCCCTCACAAGGCTGCAGTGGCAGAGCCGTTACATTAGCTCTTGGACAAACAGGCTCCATGGAAGTGGACACAAGTCCACAAAAGGAGCTTCGCTGAGGTCAAGGCATTGTTGTCTTCAAATGCTGTTGTTGCTCATTTCAATGAGCAGCTGCCGGTGTGTATAGCCTGTGATGCATCCCCTTATGGGATCGGGGCTGTCCTAAGTCACCTCAAGACTGATGGGACACAAGTTCCTGTAGCCTACTATTCAAGAACTCTGTCTTCTGCTGAACATAATTACGCACAGATAGAGAGAGAAGCTATGATGACCCAGGGCCCCGAACAGAGGCAAAGCAATTAGCTGGTCAGAATAATTGTCTTTGTAAGCACTGTCAACGTTCACTCAACAGCCCCACATATGCTGGCACAAGTTCAATAAAATAGTCACCAGAGTTAAACAGTTCTTTAAAGTAAAACAGATAACAAACAAAGTATGATCTTTTCAATGTCCAGCTTGCCTGTAACCTGAAAACTGCAAAACTGAAGACAGCAAGGAAAATTCAGCAGGAAACAAACTTGATCCAAAATACAAAGAGTCCAGGTACAAGAGCTCACATCACAAGAGTTCACATTTGTTCCCAGCAAATGCCCCACCCCACAGCGTCTCCTTAAATCCCTACTCCCCAGGTGTGCCTTGTGAAGTGGGGCGTGATGTTCTCCTCCCGAGCAAATGAGCCTGCCTCCATTGTTCCCTCCTCCTCTCTGCTCTTCTTGCTCTGGGATCAGGTGGGGAGGGGCTTACTCCTCGCCTGAACTCTGCCTTCCCTGTTCCAAACTTGAAGGGCCCTGGCCTGCTTCAGTCTCCCCACAGTCCTCCAAAGCCACAGACATCACATCCTGGGCTTCAACAGGGAACTCCATGTCGTCCTCAGAGTCAGGCTCGGATGGAGGCATGACAGAAGCCTTGGCCATAGTGGCTGACCTTTTTGTATGGTTGCCACTTCACTGTCTTTATAGACCACAAGCCACTGCTGGGGTTGTTCACAATGAAACAAGCAAACCCCACACATAATTTTTCCTAGAATGTTGAGGTGGTCAATTTTCCTTTCTGCATATGACTACTCCCTGGTTCACAAACCAGGCAAAGAAATGGGCCATGCAGATGGTCTTAGTAGGTTGTCTCTACAGCTTGTAGAATCAGATCCTGCTCCAGCTAACCACATCCTTGCTATCCAGGATTTGCCTGAGTCTGCAAATCCTCAATGCAGGGGATGTGGCTGCAGAAACAGCCATTGATCACACACTAACACACATGTTGAACTTGGTATTGTCAGGATGGCCTGACATATGTCCTGGCACCAATTTCCAGAGTTTCTGGAAAAGGAAGCATGAGCTATCCACCTTTAAGGGTTGTGTTCTGTGGGGTAGCAGGGTAGTGATCCCAATCTCATTGAGAACTAGAGTCTTGCAGTCTCTGCATGAGGGACATCTGGGAATAGTCCGGTTGAAGGCGCTTGCACACAGCTATCTCTGGTGGCCTGGGCTGGATAAGGAGATTGAGACCCAGGTTCAGGGGTGCCACATTTGCCAATAGTCCAGGCCTGAAATGCCCCAAGCTCCTGTACACAGGTGGGAGGATACACATGCTCCTTGGTCGAGGGTTCATATCGACTACGCTGTTCCCTTTCAGGGGCAGTTCTTTCTCATTACTGTGGATAGTCACTCTAAATGGCTAGAGGTTGTTCCAGTGTCCACCACGACTACTGCTAGGACCATCCAAGTGCTGAGAGGGATCTTTGCCTCTCATGGACTGCCAGATATCCTTGTCTCCGACAACGGGCCTCAATTCACCTCTTCAGAGTTCCAGGCTTTCCTGCAAGCCAACATGTTTTGTCATGCTACTCTGGCACCCTTTCATCTGGCTTCCAATGGCCAAGCTGAGAGCATTGAAGAGGCTCACTCATGGGAGCTGGCATCACAGGTTAGCTGATTTTCTCCTTTGTCACTGCACCACACCTTGCACAGCTACAGGCAAGAACCCAGCTGAACTCCGCTGTGGTCACCGTCTCATTATCAAACTGGACAGGTTGTACCCAGACCAGGTGGCTTCACAGGTATCACAGCCATGGGCACTGAGAAGACTACAGATGGATGATCCAGTTTGGACAAGGAACTATGGAGCTGGACATCTCTGGGTGACAGCAGTGGTCTG